AGTAATTTGAGTTTCAAAGTCCCCTCCAGACAACAAGAATGACCACATTAAAGTTGACAAAAATCATTTTTGTTCTCTGGAGAGGACTTTGAAACTCAAATTACTGAAAAAGTACACAGTAAAAGTAGTTCATATTATGTTTGCAAGTAGTCCTAGAAGTATTAAGTACAAACATAGCAGTTTCATAAACTACTTATGGAAGAAATGTTTTTTATCCCACGTCAAAGTTAGACAAAAATGCTCCTTCTTGTTCTCTGGAGGGAATTTTGCCATTCTCAAAAAGTACACAGTAAAAGTAGTTCATAGTATTTGTGCAACAAGTTTATGAAGCAATAAGTCCTAAAATTATTCTCATAAATTACCCTGTTCCTCAATCGCAAATAATAGAAATGAACCACATGCCATCCTTTACTTTGTAATCCAGTTTCCCAGAGTTGTTTTATTGCATTACCGTAAACCTGTAACTAATCGCGCACTCGAAATACAGGGGCGGCTGGTTTGACCACGCAAAAGTGAAAGACGGCTGGCTTGACCGCAGTAAATTGAGGAACTATACAAATGGGGTATCAATTCCTTGTTATGATCTCTCGCTGCAGATGTTGCATGGGGAGCTGCTGACCTCACCTGCATGATGAGCGATGTGCTTGTGGCGACATTTGGCTCCTTGGACTGCAGCTGACGGTGAGAATAGTTGAGGCCGTCCCAGGACGCGCTGACCATGTTCACCACGTTAGCATGGACCACCGTGAAGTAGGTGAGGCTCCTCGGGGCGATGCGCAGCACGCCGAGGTTGTTGTACAGCGCTGAGGCGCTGTTTTTGATCTGGATGCTCTTCTCTTTGTGATACATCGCACTTACTTCTCTTAGCAGCTCAGTTTAAACAAATGAGGAGACGATCCGGTGTAAATCTAACAGATTAATAAAAAAGGGGATCACATTCTGGTTTAATTTGATAAGAAGTTTCAGTTAAAACACAGCGTTGTGTGTAGCAATTGGCAGCACTAAGCACTTATCATTAGCAGCAAGCTAATCTATGTTAGCTAAAAGCGATACAAAACATCGCAGTTGAAGGACACCGTTTGCTTTCTGTGCTGCACTTACCCTTCCTTTTAGATTACGTTACAGTTGATCCAGCAGTCAATGGATCTGTTGTAATTCACCATTAAATAAAGTTGCCATAAACGAAGCACTTTTCTACCTCTTCTTGATAGCAACAGATTACCTCCGCGTCGTCCGCAGCCATAGATACAACGCCAGCTCTACGTAAAACGTCATCAGTGCGTCCTCGGTTGCCGAGCAACCGTACACTACACACAAAAGGGGTACAAAAAAGAAGGGCGTATGGTAAGTTACTAAATAAACCTCGCATCGTAACGTTATAATGTTTATTATTCGCAATATATTGTATTGCAATCTATTATTATGCATTTTAACCGTGTGGCTATAAATAGCTTACCTTAAATACAATAACACTTTACAGCCCACACTAGTACTATCAGCTCTGACTGAACTAACTGACAACAATTTTAGCTAGCTTGATTATGTATGACTTATTTTTGATAAATAATTAAATAAATAGTATTAAGAAATGTTTAACATATTTGACATGACGATTAAGATTTTGTTGACATAAACGGGGAAGGACTGTAAAACATTTCACAAATATTAACTACACAAGCTAGTATTTACTTAGAAGATGTCTTTAGATTGTGGCTCTCACACATTGTTGTCCACATTTGTTTTGGGATTTAAAATGCACGGAATTATTGATTTGTAATCAGGAGCATTGTATTGCTATGCAAATACAGTTCTGTAATGATTGATGGTATTTTATTTTACATCAAAGTTCCCAAGATGAAATGAAACCTGTCATGTTTGACTAACACCACCAGATGGCGCTAATGCCTACCATCTGACATTTCACTGCAACATGCCAACTGATGTTCTTAATTTGTTGATTTTTTCCCAAATAAATATATACTAAACTATAAGATATTGGGTTTTTGATTTTCTCTTCAAAGTTGTTTTTCCCCATAATTTGTGTTTCATGTGTCACACCAGCGTCTGAGCCACAATGCCCCGCTCTGCAGCCAAGTCCGCTGATAAGCGAACGCCTAAGCAGTCTATCCAAGTGAACACACCTCCAATAACTCCACCTCCAGCTCAGTCCCAATTAACGGACACATTGAGCAAAAAGGATGCAGATGAGACATTGGCAGAAGGCATGGAAGAGCTGAAGAGCAAAGCCATGGAAGGCTGTTTGCCACCTCTAACTCCAGCTCAGTCCCAATTGATGGACATGTTGAGCAAGGAGCACACAGATGAGACAGTGGATAAAATCATGGAAGAGCTGATGAGCAAGGTCATGGAAGGCTGTTTGAATGTGGACATTGAAAGACAGGTAAAAGTGAAATGTGTATTTTGATTACCCAAAAATGTGAACGTCTGCCTACTGAGCTAAACCAATGGACAGACCAATGAAAATATTGATTGTGTTTTCATCAATTTCATCCACACGTATACATTTAGTATTGATGATGTTGCATTTTGCCCTTAAGCTAGTACCTTTCACTGCATCCTGGGCCAAGAGCTACCTCACCAAGATTCTGGAGAGGCAAATCATGTGCCCAGATGGTGGAGAAGAACCAGAGGAATCATTGAGAACAGAAGACTCGGAGCCTTTGCCAGCAACCCTAGATGCCTGGGTTCAAGGATGTGTGCCAATCGTAAGTGCTACCCCTCGAACATCCCCCTGCCTCACCACAGATTATGTTGTAAATCTATATCTCTTTATTTGTTTCTAACAGGAGGCTGACATTGACCAGATTCCAGCACAAACAGAGCCAAAAGTCAACCAGGTGTGTAATGTTATGGCCAAAACAAACATCTCGCTAAAGCAATCTGAAAAAGAAACAACTCCCAGAAAACCTGTCATTAACAAAGTGCTTAGTCCTCGCCCCCCACCAAAAATTGATCTAAAGAAAAAGCAGCAGGTTCATTTGACTCCTAAGCCTGTTGCGGGCAAGTTACTGCCACCCCTGCCCTATTCTGCAGGGAAAAAAGAAGTGGGCAAAGAGCGTGAAGACCGGACACATTCTGTTTGTAACTACTCGACTGAATCATTATATCAGCATAATAACAAGCAACCAACAACAAAACTTGATCCATCCAGTTTGCCTCGACATTGCATCTTTCCTCAGTATGAGATTATTGACGACAACCATAAAAAACCAAACAGCAAGAAAACAAGTGGGCTATCCAAACATGAACCAAGATATGTCAAGCAGCAGAGTGAGCAACAAAACCGTTCCAAGGATCAGCCAGCAAAGGGGAGAAATGAGGCAGACGTCTGGCTGAAGAAACTGCCTCCACAAGGAAAGGAAAGGATGGTCTCCTCTGGGCCTCTGAGGCTGGACACAATGGTTTTGGCAAAGGGAGTTTCTCTCGTGGATCCCCAGGCCGTTGAAATAAGCCCTCTCAGATGCAACCCTCCAACTCTTACCAAGCTGAGGCCGATACAGAGTGTTGCAGCTGTGCCAATGTTTTCAGTTGATCAGTTTACCACAGGGGAACCACCTCGGGTTATCCCATTGCTCAAGTCCAAGAACCCTGACAACTAATAGAAAAACTAAGTGATAAATGTTTGTGGTTGTATTTAGAGCATATGTAAATGGTGAAAAAAAGTGCCTGTATTACAAGAAAACTATGTTATTGCTGCTGTAGGCTTAGGTGGGACATGTTTTACATTTTTGAAAGATTCTGACTCTATTATTTATCCGTCTGTATTTGTTAGCAATTCTTCATTTGCAATGCAGTGGTGAGATGCACTGTGCACATGGAAACAACAGTACCTAATAATAATAATAATATTATATTTCATTTATATTGTTCTTTTTGAAGTACCAAAATACCCTTTTTACAATATATCCATTGACATTTCTATGATATTTGTATATTAAAGGAAAGCTTTGTGTTCAATAATTGCCTCCCACAGCATGCAAAGAAGATATACAACTACAACACTGTGATGCAAGTACATTTAAGCATGAGTTATTAAGACTGCAGGCTCTCTGTTTTCACTCTTTTCCATCTTGTCATATGCAAAGATAAACACTTACTGTGGAACCAGATTGTGTTTTAGCCACTTTTTTTTACTGTTATCTAAAACTCAAAACAGTGATACATTTAAATATGTGTTGTACATGTTTAAAAATGAATGAATGTGTTGTGCCATAAACATCTGTTGTTCATGACCCCTATATTACAGGAGTTTCTACTATTTGGTTCATAACATTTGTATCACTGAAGGTAGGATAATAAGATAAACACTTCTTTGTATAATACCTACAGTTCAACAGCATTAACGAATGCATCCTCAAAACCATACTTTTTAATCAACAGATCCAACAAACACTTAAGTCCATTTAATAAAGTGGTGGGGACAAGTCCCCAGCGTTATTACATGCACACCACTCATAATCATCTGCTGCCGTCAACATCTGCCACAGATCTGTAGGTATTGGATTCGGAAAATAACAACTTAAGTTAATATGTAAATATAAATAAATAAGTGTTTTACCGCACGAGGTTTTATTTTTATTTAACTTTAGGCATCCCTGGACCATGACACATCAGTGCCACAAGAAGACTGTTCATGCAACCTATCTTGCTGAAGCCGGAACGAGTCTCGACCACGCTCGACGTACAGTGAGCCAATCACATTTCACCCCGGCCACTCTTCCACCAACCAGCAGAATATTTTGCTATGTAGCATGTATGACTGACCCTGTGCACATGTGAGAGCGATATGAAGGGAAAGCAGTGTTGATCAAAACGTCAAAATACCGGATTTTTCCTCACATTGGAATCAGATCAGACATGAAAAATAAGCAAACTGTTGCCGACGACGCAGCAGAGGTAAGACTGCTGACATGTATTATGATTTTAGCTGCTAGGTGGCTAACTACCGCTTAGTTAACAAACGAGGCAGTTTACCTAGGGCTACAAGTGTGCTGCGTGCATGCTTTGCCTACAGATGGGCAACTACGTTACATTGTTGAGATTTAATGTGCACTCTTTAATAATAGAAATGCAGTGCTTTCCAGTAAAGTAACACACACTCGAACAAACGCTCCAGGCCCAGTTTGTATTGTATACCCTGATTATGATGCCTTACTAGTTATACAATTCAAAGTTGGATAAAACCGAGCTGCTGTTGATGCCACTACATTTTCTTGTTTTACAGATGATTCCCTCCGAGAGTCATGAGGAGCAGGAGAACGAGGCTCCGTCTAAAGCTAAAAGGAGCAAACCCGAAGACGCTGGGGGGGAGGAGAGTGTGTATCATCCGGTGAAGCTGTCCCGGAGTGATCTGTACAAACCCCCCTCAGCAGAGGAGCTGAACCAGCTGAAAGAGGCAGAGAGTCTGTTTCACTGCAGCCTGCTGAAGATGCAGGTAAGACCTCTGACATAGACAGAGAATGAAGTTGTGACTTAAGGGAAGCCTGTCAAACAATAACACACAACCTTGCTCATGCTTGTGGTAAAATGTCTGTAATCTATCACCAATAACAGATGGAAGAGTTGCTGAAAGAGGTGGCCCTGAGTGAGCGCAAGAAACAGCAAATCAATTCTTTCATTCAGACAGTCACCAAGCTGATCCAGACTGTACCAGAATCGCCAGAGGTTGAGGTATGTAGTATTTCAACTTTAAGAAAAGCTTAATGAAAAGGCAAAACTTCCCACACTTTAACCTGTGACCTTATTTATCTCTCAATCTCTCTATGTGTTCAGGTAAGTGACCTGTCATGGCTGTCCAGTGAAGTGAAGGTCCCTTTCCTCCTGGTGCCCAAAGCAACGAAGGGCAAGTTCCACATGGTGCCTCCTGCTTCTGTGGATCTGATCGGCAGCTACCCCCTGGGCACCTGCACCAAACCACGCATCAGGGTGGACCTGGCTGTCACTATCCCAGCTGTAAGTCTCCTGCCCCCTTTTATATTTTAATACATCACCTCAAGCCTTGAAAGCAATGTGCTATTAACAAGTACTGAATGCAATATAACAATTGATTTATAATCAGGGGTGGACATAACTTTTTTAGTGAGTTACTCAGATGAGTACCAGGAGACAGCGTTTGGTACTCACCCCACACGAAGCATGGTCCTAGGACCTCCTCAGTGTCTCCTTCACTGTCCTCTATTTACACCTCTTGCATGCTAGATGATGAAGACGATGAAGATATACCTCCCTGTCCCTGTTTAAGCCTCCGATTTGCTTTCTCCAAAACTTGTTGCCAAAACTGTGAAGTCCTTGCCTTTCCTGAGGCCAAGTGGAAGGATCAAATACTAAGAAATTATAACATGACTTGAAGTCATATCTGATTTCAGATGTGGGAAGTTACTCTATTAAGTACTGTACTTAAGTAAAATGTTGAGATATTTGTACTTTACTTGACTTTGATGCTACTTTGTACTTCCAGGGCTCGACATTAAGGGCTGCCCGATGGCCCGGGGCCATCTAGTATTTAGCTCGGGCCATGAAGCCTCACCTGCTGGTTGCCCGATCGGGCAATCTATTATACCAGTATCATACAGCTCGCGGATCCAGTAATGAGTGACCCGACAGTAAAACTAAACATATCTATAACTAGTTTAGGTAGTTTGAGAGGTGATTAAAATAGCTACGTGCGATATTCTAACCTGAAGTGTGTGTTTTGTCCGCTCACCGCTGCATGTGATCATGCAGAGCTNGTGTGCCTTGGCAGTCTCAGCCTCCCAAAGAACCAGAATCGAGAACCGAAAACAAACGGAATCGAAAAGCATAACCGGAATCGTTAAAATCCAAACGATACCCAACACTATGTGTGATGCAGTAAAATCTTACCGTTCACTTACGTTAGCGGTGTCGTAAAAACCGTGGGAAAATGTAAAATACGATGCTGATTTGAAAAATTTAAGTAAATTGCCAAACTCACTTGTCCATGGATAGGTACTCTCTAAAAACGTTTTCTTACATTGAATACCTTTAGTTACTTTACAGATCTGGATTAATGATGTGAAATATATTCACGTCTAAAATCCGACTTTAGTTCCACCTTGAGTAAATTCACAAGCTACCATGTCTACCCGGTCGTCAAGGGCCGGTGACGGCCGGCTCGATTCGCTGACGGCACCGACACCGGCCTTACTTTTTAATGTTTTTAAACCCCACCGTTGACAATTCGTGTGGGCTGGTCTGGGTGAGATTCCAGGGGTGTTTTTTAGTCCCAGTCCGCCCCTGCCTGCAGTATACAAAGTCATTAACACTAGCTGCACCTTTACCAGCTTTGATAACACTTTAATGATCAATCATTATAAAACATACCATATATATTATTCTGAAATGGAACAATCTACACAATGACTACTTTTACTGTCGCTACTTTAACTATATTTTGATGATAATACTTTTCTACTTTTACTTGAGGAACATTTTGAATGCAGGACTTTTACTGTAACAGAGTATTCCTACACAAGATCTGAGTACTTCTTCCACCTCTGTCTGATTTCAAACTCTTAAATTAACACCCTGAGTAAGTTTGCAACTGTGTGTTTTACTCCACATTGTTGTAAACGAAACTGCAGCAGCTTGACCACAGAGCGTGAGCGTTGTGAGCAGCTGATTTTGCTCCAGTGTTTGCGCGGAGCACAGAATGTGCACAGGGGAGTCTCCCACTGCAGCCAGTTGGCGGAGTTTTGGCACAATTCTGTTGTTCATACCAACGTTAACCCTGTCTGTACACACGGTGAACTACTCTGTCGTCCAGTGATCTAAGCTTCTGCCTCCTGTAAAGCTTCACAGGTCCGTCGGTTATGTCCTGCGCTGCTCGGTCAGCTCCAGTTCAATCAGTCATAGAAAGTCCGAAGATTTTTAGCAGGGAGCGAAACGGCAACGTAGCTGCTTAATGTCTTTGTTTTCTTTTACATGTCTAGTAGTTTACTCCATTGAGTGTTGACAAGAAACACGTGTAGACGAAATATATGTTTTGTTTGGATGTTTTGAGGTACGCAAAGGCGCGTAGTGACACAAGTGATGTCACGCAATTCAGATTTGTGCCGCGCATGCTACCTGCGTACCAGTTATGTGCACCCCTGTTTATAATATTAAAATAGAGACTGATTTTTTCTGGTGCCTCGTCTATTTGTTATTAGGATGTCCTCCATCCAAAGGATGTTGTGAACCAGAGGTATCCGAGGAAACGGGCACTCTACCTGGCCGGCCTGGCACAGTATCTCGCATCTTCCTCTGAAATTGGAACCATGCGTTATTCCTGTCTCCATGGCAATCGACTCCGACCCGTTTTGCTGCTGACACCTCCAGGTATTTCACTTTTGATTTCGTATAATTTATTTATTTACTGGATGAGTTTAATTTCTGATTTCCTAATGTACACAACCCTTTAATCTCACAGTGTTTACAAGTTTGAGTTATGATTGCTATATGTTATGTGTTGTCTGATATTTCAGGTAAAGACTCCTCCAGCTTCTCTGTTAACGTCCATGCCTGTCCGCCTCCTGGATTTTTCAAGCCCAGCCGTTTCCACCCGCAGAAAAATAATATCCGGACAGAGTGGTTCACTGGATTGCAGAACTCTCAGTCTGGTAAGATTGTTCATCAAAATATAATCAGCCATCACAATTTCCCTTTCCCCTGCAATCACTCTTTCTCAGACAATGGTCATACGTTATTTATGATTGCATTTTCAGCAACAATCCAAAACAAATATCATAATATTTGTTTTTCCTTTGTTGCAGAGGGCACCGAACCTCCCACCCCTCATTACAATAGCTCTGTTCTGGGGGATTTACTGCCCAGGCCGCACCTCCAGTTTCTTTCTGCTGTTGGCTCCCAGTGCTTCGCTTTTGCAGATGGGGTGACTTTGCTCAAAGTCTGGCTTCGACAAAGAGAGCTCGACCAGGTGGGAGGCTTGAAAGGGTTCTCTGACTTGTTGAGAACTTTTTACAGGTATTATGAATTAGTATTCTTACACCAATTCTCTGACCTCACCTTTGTATTGCTCTCTTAATGTCTTATAGGGCACTGGTTGTTTCAATGGATTCCTGGCTTCAATGTTGTTGGCCTATTTGCTGAACAGTCGAAGAATCAGCAACTCCATGACAGCCTATCAGCTGCTTCGAAACAGCTTGAACTTCCTGGGTAAGACATTTTAAAACCCACTAAACATGATACACGTTATACAGTAGTTGGTCTTACAGCAATTAGCTCGTATTACTGTTTTGAATATCTTGCGACTCACCCAACTCCTAATTCTAACCCTCAGCATCTACAGACCTGACAGTGAATGGAATAAGCCTCGCCAAAGATCCTGACTCTTCCGCTGTGAGTTGTATAAAACAGTGCATGTAGTTTAACCCAGTCTTTTTCTTAACCTCCTCAATTAATCATATTCTTTCCTATTCTTCTTTTTCCTACAGCCATCTATGGAAGAGTTCCACAATGTTTTCCAGGTGGTGTTTGTGGACCCTTCAGGACATCTCAACATGTGTGCTGACATGACTGCTTGTACCTACAAACAGGTAAATACTGTAAAAACAAATGTGTGAAGATCATTTTTACACTGTTAAGATTAAACGGCACTCTATTGACTATTTATAATTTGGTTTTCAGCTGCAGCATGAGGCATCTGTGTCGATGCAGTTCTGGGACAACCCCACGGTGGATGGGTTCCACAGCCTCCTCATGACCCCCAAACCCATGATAAGGACAAGCGACCATGTCTTCCAGTATGGATCTTTTTAACAAATCAAAATCCTGTCACTTTTCTATTTACTAAATGAGCAGTTTTTTTTAACACATTCTCACACACGTACTACATTTTCCACGGTGTATCACATGAGTTTACTGTTTCATTGTTGTATCTGTCTAAAGATAGTTCCTACACCCTCCTGTTCGCTTTCATCACTAAAGTAAGTTTTTTGGGGCCTCATGTATAACGCCGTGCGTAGGATTGACGTGGGAAGGTTACTTACGTAGTAGAAATCCGAAAAATAGGTCCATAAATTTTCCGCCACTTTCCGATTCACCAAACATTGCGTACCGGCGAGGAAAGTGCGTATGGCACTTCCTACGCCGGTTTCCCTTTATAAATCACAACCGACTCGAAATGCGGTGCAGCTTTTGCGGGCTTCACGTAACGCCCATGTTTGCCTATAAATAGTCAAAGAAACGCCCTTTCATTCATTCATTTTGACTGACTGCATGGAGAAGATCGCAGGAAATGACGACAGACAGCTAAAAAAGACATCTCACACCGCGTCAGATTTTGGTTATTTTGGGGAGGTCGAGATAAACCATATTGTTTGGTGGATGCAGTTTGAACCAGAGTAGCAGCATGGAGGTCGGATCGTCACCAAAATAAATAAATAAGTGGTCCGAAAAAGGTTAATGACAAAAAAAATACACATAGCCCTAGCTTAACCTTCCTCAGGCAGTGTGTTTGTACCGGGGACAGGAGACACCCCCTTGATGAGAAACTGTAAGAAATGATCGGGGGATCCCTCCGGAGTGGAGTCATGACGGCTGGATCTGAATTATGTTTTTGTATTTGGCGGTTTGTGTTAAAGGAAATACAACTAATGTGTTATATTAGCTGTACAACTTACCACATATGGTGCTCTTAGTTTCCATACCTCCTGTGTTTTACGACCGGCTTATCAAGTAGGCGGCGAACGGCATAAAACATGATTAAACATAGTATATAAAACCATGCTCGTATCTACAACCTATATGAGTGCAACACGGCGTCAGTTTAGACGTAATTCTGTCCTGCTTACCACATAATTTATGAGAAAACATTTCATAACATTAACACAACATATTCGAGGCGGTTT